GTCTGCCAGTTCCTTCAGCACTCGCAGGTGCATTCCATCGGGGCCCAAATAAGAATAAGAATACAATTTCTTCTAATATACTGGTATCAGAGAAAGGTAGGAGAGGTATGGCGTAATAGTGTATAACACGGCACAGTTGGTAAACCTGTGGGATGTGTACTAGTTATACATAAATTGCATCAGTTTAGTCCCCAGTCTTGATTTCTAGGTTGACCTCTCTGAACTGTTCTATCATCTTTCAGGACTTTTTATGTCTTTCTGTCTTGGAGCTAATGAAAGTGACGGGACAGAGCTACTATGGTGTGCAGAAGCTTCTTTGTAAAGTCAGCCGAGCTTGTGCTCCCAAAATGCAGACAGTAAGTATGCTTATGTTGATTCTTTTTTTGATACAGTATCTGGGAAAAAGCTAAACAGTGTCCTTCACCTTTTTAACTGGGAGGTTTGTGATGTCTCAGTTTGATTGCACAATGAAATAATACTTTTATTTTTAAATTTAGATCTCTAAGGTGCTTTAGTTTGATGCAGTGACTTTTATTAGGCATTATAGCCTCAAGAGATTCGTTCAGGCTTGCAGAATCGGTTCAGGGTGCAATAAGAAAATACAGCATTTTCTCTTGCAATCCCATATGTAAAAATTGCTTTTAGCTCGGACCCTGCATCTAAAAAAAGAAAAAGCATTGTTTAATACAAGCAAATAAATAAGAATTTCAGTATAAATTGGTTTTAGACATAAAACTGATGTCAAGAAGTGAAGTGATCCTGAAAATAACTTCCATCAACGTGAATGAACTGTAGTGTCGTTTAGGCTACAGGTAGTGTGACTGGGGAGAGTACAAGAAGGAAACGGTTGTTAGCGGCAATGCGGTGGCTGGATTTTATTTTCTTTTTTTGAATTCAGATGAAAAGATGTAAAAAATGGTGCCTTTTTAGAACAGAGAGAACACGGGCAGTTCTGACCTGTGTCAAAGCAGCCTGCTTTTTCTCCTGAAGAAAATAAGCCATGTCAAAGTTCATTATGTGTAATTGGCATAGTAATTGTAGCAGTAACTCTGTGTAACTTTAATTTGACAAACATACTGCATTAAAGGTAGTGATATGCAGAATTAATGACTTACATGGAATGGATTAGAAGGTAGCTAATTACTAGAGTTCCATCAATAACGGTTAATAATCTATAAATTGAAGACAGATGGAAGTTTTAAGTAGAGTAGCATTTGCTTTTGCCTGTCATCCACACATCACTGTTCAATCAAATTTCTTTGCTGAGAAGCTTGGCAGATACTTAAGTTTGTCAGACAGCAGTTGTCAAGGACTGTTAATACAGAGCGGGCCAGCTATGTAAGTGTGTACAATACAGAGCTGTACTTTCAGAAACAGAAGATGTTAGCTATTTTTAAGGGATGTGGATTGAATCTTTGCAAACACAGGATTTCAGATGGACTTCAGGTCACAGTGACTAATAGAACATCATGACTGATGTAGCAAGAAGATTTGACTATATCTTTGAGTAAAAAAATAAATAAATTAGATAATAGGAGTTATAAATAAGGGGATGATACTGTCCAGATATAACACTGAAAGCACTGGCAGCAAAACTTGAGAGTATGCCAAGAGTGAAGCCTACTGAAGTCATTAGAGAGGAAGTTAGTTAAGGGGTGACTTGATCACATTATATGTTGGGTAGAAAAAGATAATTATATTGGATGTCTCTAGCGTCTAGCTGAACAAAAAGCTGAACAAGATCCAGTGGCTGGAAGATAAATGAAAAAATAAATCCCTGAAATGGGAATTAATAAGAAAATCTTTAGAAACTAACATAAATTACCATTGGCAAAGGTTGTCTAAGGATGTAGTAATTTTTCATTCACTTAGACTCCTGATTTAACAATTGAATTATTTTTTTTTTTTACTGAAGGACAGTCTGATTCAACCCTAATTTTGTGGGTTAAATACAGAAATCACGGGGTAAAATTTTAGAGTTCATGTTAGGCAGGAAAGCTATACTAGAATATTGTTTCCATGGTCTGCAGGGTTTGTTCCCAGTCTACAGGGTTTAAGTCCTGTCAGAGGTTAAACAAAAAATGATTAAATGAAAATATGTTGCAAATCCTTCATCAATGTATGTGTTCACTCTTAAAGTGAATCTGAGCATAAACTCTGATCCCATTTGAGTGAGGTAAAATTAACTGGTTTTTGTGTTGGCCTGTTCTGTGTCTTGAAAGTTATTTTTCTTGTGTTTCTTCTCAATAGAACTGAAGAACAGAAAAGGTCTGAATGAATTTAAAATATTATTCTAATATGCTACCTGTTGTAAGATAGGGAAGAACTGTAGCATTAAAAAAAGGAAGGTACAAGCTATCTTACCTTAGCCTGCTGGTAGAACTAGCTGGAAATTTTTCTGATCAAATTCATCAAAAAATGCTCACTTTTTGGCCCAACAAGTATGGACTAAAACATCTAGGATTCAATGGTGTGATTATTTACTTAGTTATTGATGATTCCTGTGGACGTGCCTTCTGTAGTACACCATATTCCCAGCAGACTGTCTTAAGACTGGGATAAATCTGATGACTGTATTTCTTTCCGGCATAGAGAAATCAGGTTTTCTGGAGTGGTCAGTCATGGCAGGTTATGGTGGTACACTGTGACAGGGCTTCGAGAATCTCTGTTGTTGGGAAAGGAGTCTGAAACCTCTGGGAACTCTTAACTGTAGCTAGAGCAATGACCTTTAGATCTTGGACTGTTCCTTTTAAAAATCAAACTTCTGATGTTCAGGATGCTCAATGGTTGAGAAATGTGTCAGGTTTAGCAGATGTCTGCAAGGTGTGAGCAAGACCTGTTTCTTTTGGAAATGTCATGTTTTGGTGTTTCCAGATCAGCGTTTCCATTTTGTTATTTCTTCTTTGTCTTGTTTAAATCAATTCCCCAAACAAAAATAATTCTTATGAACTAGAATTCTAATCTTGGGCCAGTTCCTCTAGTCAGTGGAGGAATTAGGAATTCAACTATTTTTCAGTTCTGTACCTGTCCTGTCTGCTTGACTCCTCTTCCTCATAAAAGTGGAAAATTAGAATGGCTACAGGATCAGCCCAGGCTTGTTTCAAGAATTGGGAATCTTTAGCAAACCTGTTCTTCAACCTAGGCAGTTTCGAATTGGTAATGAACATTGGCCAGGGAGTTCTTGGTTTTAGGTTCCATGTGAGTTCTGCATTGGTCACTAACCATACATACAGTGTTTACTAATACAAAAGCTGGAGTTTTACAGGTTGAAAGCAAGTCTTGTTGAATAGGACCAGAGAAAACCTTTGACACATCATTATTAAAGGCTTATTATTTAATATTGTGGTGAGGGAGATAAAATAAATTTCTAAATTTACTCTGTGAGCTATAAATGGGACATAAATGCAAGGAAGGGTGTTGAGCTAAGAGAGGACTATAGCTGAAGATAGGAATAGTTTGCTCATTGGCAAGTGTAAAGACATTCCAGGTCGATGAAAGCAAATGTGAGGTTTGCTATTTCCATTAAAAAACAACAAAAAAACCCCATTTTCTGATTTGTGTGTTTTTCTTTTGCTTTTTTCCTCTGCTTTTGTAGGCTTACGAAATGAAACTGAGCAAGTCTGTCAATCCCTCTTCAGCCTTTTTGTCCACCACGCTGCATAGTTTGGACAAAGTCTTGCATGGTGGAGTGCCCTGTGGATCTCTCACAGAGGTAACTTGTTTAATATATTGTACTGCAGTTGCACATCACACCTGAAAGTCAAAAGTCACAGATAGGCTGGACTGTCTTGTATCAGGTGCTTTAAACACAAAGTACACAAAAATTTTGGCTGAGAATCATAGAAGTGCTTTTTTTTTCTTTTTTTAATTGGTGGAGGCTGCACTTTTTTTTGTGTATTGTTTTCCTCCCCCCCACCTAGCAAGTCAGTTAAGAAAGAAAATGAAGTAATTAAAACATTTGGTGACCCTATTTTCCTTTAAAAAAAGGGAAATTTTTCCAGGTAATTTGGGAGAATTGTTGGCTGGATTTTTACAGTGGGAAAGTTGCAGTGTAATTTCATGGTCAGAACACAAGGTGCTGAATCAGGAGTCTGTCCTTTTAATAATGACTTTACGAAGTCATTAGTTTTGATGAAGGTACAATAAGCAATTAGGGCAAAAGTGTGAAGCATATAGGCATGAGAATGACTTTACAGAGCTTTTATATATAAATATAAAGCTCATTTATGCAATAAGTATGTAATACATTCTTTTTAAAAAGGACTGTAATTAAGGCCTGTGTTGTATGCACATACAATGCAATTTGTAGTGTTGCAAATCTATCTGTAACTCTTGTCACTGGCTGGACTTTGGATGAAATGCTACTTCTTTTGCTTAGAATTTTCTCTTAAGAACAAGGGAGCGCTTCGTCTTCTAGTATCTGGATTTCTTGTAGAAAGTGATAATAACTTGTATAGTTTCTATAATCTGGAAAGACAGGATTTGTGTAGATGCTCATAGGAGTCACTGAGTATTACAAAAATTCAAATATGCAATCTCTGGCTTAGGAATTTGCTGAGCTACCAATGGAGATGGAGAAATGTATATCTTGGAGGGAGTAGCAATATATGTGTGCCTTGTTCTTATGTTATTCGCCTAGCCATCTGTTGTAGGCCCTTGGTAGAGACAGAATCCAGAGCTAGATGGACATTTGTTTTATGTAATGTGGCCATACTTGCCTTCTTAAAGTTCTGAACTCAGCTGTGCACTTGAAATTAGTGGAAAGAGACATATTGTGTCCGTCATGCTCTCTACTTAGACAGATTGAAACCGTTTTTATCCTTGAATATTTTAACAGTCCTTACCGAGTGCTTTTCTTTGTCTACTGTGGCAAATTGCCGCAGTAGAGGAGTAGAAGTCAGAAGTTATGAAAATATTACTATGAGGAAAATACATTTTTTTTTTTCAACACCCTATAATCAAACTAGATTGGTTTTGATCTCACATAGAAATCACTGACAAAATCCGATAGTGACTTAAAACATATTAGTGTTTAAGCAACACAGATTAGAGTATAACAGTTTCTGCCCTAGTAAACTCTTATGTAATGAGGGGATATTATTTTTTAAGGATTCTGAGTATTTCTTTTTGTCTACGATGTACAGGAACATTCAGGTCTTCATAAAAATGTTTAGGAATGCATTCACGAACTTGCATTGATCTGTCAGAATATTTTCTTCATGTTTAGGCCTAGCTTTATTACCAATTTACGATAAGAAAATCGTATCAGAAAACTTTAAGTCTTTAAATTCTGGGAGAAAAGACTTGCTAAATTCTATTTCACAGAAGAAGAAAGAGCAGTTCTCATATGTAGCAGTGGGATATGCAGGGGCCTGAGATTGTAACTATGCTGTTGTTGAGGATAGTGCCTTCAGCAGGTGAGTTTTTTGTTCCTAAAAATATTTTTATCAGCAAAGCAGTAGCAGCGCTAGGTGTAGTTTCACTCCTTTTCTTTTGGATTATTGTTCATGCAGTCAGCTGATGAAATAGCACAACCTGTGTTTGAAAAGAAATGATGCTCACTTGTGGCTAGGATCTGGCTTTCTGGGATTTCCAACTGGTCCGCTAACTTTTTCTCAGTGGAGGCAGGGAATGGCTGTTCTGTGCTTATGCTACTTAAACTTCTGAATTGTGCTTCTTTAGTTGAAATGCAGAGTCACTGCTGCACAGGTAGGAGAAAGAAGTAGAATGAATAGAGGTGTGTCTTTTCTGGGTATGCCAACTTGTCCTTGAGCCTATGACTGGCTCAAGGGCGGTGCCTAAAATAAGGATGTCACCCTTCTAGAATAGGTCAACCCAGATAACCCAGTCTATTTTGTCCTTCTTCCTGTTGCTTGGCAATTCTGAGTAGAAGATGATGACCAGAGTGTAAAAGTTCACATTAAAGGATCCTGGAATATTTTTTTCCTAATTAAAAATATCAGTGGATGTGATCCTTTTGGATTGGAAGAGCTACCAAGATAATTTACAAGGCTGCCAATAACAATGTTGTTGAATATTTGTCTTTTTTCTTAATCCTAAGCATAGCTTAGCTGAAAGCATCAGCTTTGGCTTTCAGCTATCAGTAAAGACGAGGTAGAACAGCTCTGGAACACTGATAGACTTTAAGCTTGCTGTTTGCCATGTTCTTGGCTTTGCTCCTGAGGGAGATCTGGGAAAAGCAGGGGTTGACATGCTGGGAGTTTAACTGGAGTTTACCTGACTTTTGACTTCTAAGTTTTGGTTGGTTTGTTGGTATTATTTTTTTATTTGAAATAAATATTTTTTTTGTATTTGAAAGGAAGTTCTGCAAGCAATTAATCTCAAAACATGGATGTCAAATATAATTTTCCTGAGATGGTATAAAATAATGCTCTCCAGGAATTATTGCAAATGCTTGATTTTTCAGAGCTGTGTATTTTGTAATACTTCTCAGCTTGGTTGATTATCACAATCCTCAATTTAAAAATTTTTTTCAGTTTCCTTAAAACTTGTATTTCTTTAGATATGTGAAAATCTGGGAAACTGTTTCTAAACTCTATTTTAAGAATGGTCATAGTTCGTACGTATCAATGTATTTAAAGGTAGTTGGGGGAAATATATTCAGAGATACAACTTTTATCTGATTGTAAATGAAAAGCACTGTGCCAGGAAGGGTGTTTCACTTTAAGTTTTCTTCTGAAAAAAACTTTTGAATGTTAAGTGTTTTGTATTCTGACATATTTTAGATGAAAATACAGAGAACTGCCTAATGCAGTTATAATCAACAGGTGATCTCACTGACTGAGGTGTTGAAGTCTGTACAAGACATCTAGTGGATGAGACTAGAACTGCAAGCACTACATCCACCAGGAGCTTGGTCTTGGTGTCACTCTCATGCAAGATTGACAATACTGATGCAGAATAACTATCTAATCAGAAACATTATGGAAAGAACTAGGTAGTCTCCAGAAATTAGATGCCTAACTTAGGAGATTAGAGGTGTCTAAAAAAGTGTATTGCTTTTTATTTGCCTTTTAGGTACTAAATGTGGAAAGCAATATTAGGGGTTTCTCAGCAAACATAAAGGCAGAGAACAATTAACTATGCGAAAACTGAGTTGCTCATTTAAAGGCTGGTTCTGGAGATTTTTTTAAATCATTTTTGCAAAAGTCATGAGATCTGAAGTAGTTTCAAAGGTTGGCAGCACTGCAAGTGTTCTTCAGCACGATTGTTAGATGAAATTTTAATAGAAAGCTACCAGGTGTCTGCTGCTGCTGTTTTGATGCTGTACTGCAGCTTGTGAATACTTTCAGGTCACGTTCGTTTTGGATTCAGGTGATTTTGGAACTCAATAATTTTAATTTGATCTTTTGCAATTTACTGGACCATATCTGACCAGCAGATTGCCCTTCGGTGTTTTTGTTATTAGGCAGATATTGTAAGTCTGAGAGACGTTCTCTTCAAAAGTACATTGTGTGCAGCATTTACTTCCTGACTGGTGTGGCTAAATTCTTGCCTTCCTGTTACTTTATCCAGCAGTGAGGGTGGTTGGAAACTTAGAATTTGAGTACATGAGCCACAGGGTTAAGACTTGTGGTGGTATCTTCTACGGCCAAAGCTGCTTGCTTTTTGAGTGCCAGAGGGATTTGATTTGTGTTATGCTGTCTTGAACCATTTTTTCCCCAAACCACTATTAGGTTTTAAGTTGGAAATTAAATCATAGCTGAAATTTTGTGGTTAGATGTCAGAGCTTTTGGCCAACTCCTCTGAGGGAAAATTAGTAATGACTTTGTGAATATTGAAGAGTTTAATCCCCTGGTAGCTGAAGAAGAATTAGCTCCTTGTGACTTCATCCAAACCCTACAGCTATGCCAGAGAAAATAATATATAGCATATTGAAAAATGGAAGTATATTTTGTTAGGCAGAGATAAATTAAAAACTGTTATGGTCTTCACATTTCTATCTGGGTGGATCTGATTTTTTTTTTTTTTCCCAGAGTAAATTTAGAGTAAAAATTAAGCAAACTTTTTGCAGACGTTCAATTTAAAGTATATTAGAGGAATTTTAATGTTTTCTTACCTAAGATTGTATTGTTCAAAATACTTGCTGGACCAGTGGTAATTACATAAAATATCCTAGTTCTTTAAAATTGTTCACTGTGGATTTAAAATCCCATTTTAATGCCCTTTAAAGGGATGCTGATAAAAGATGAAGTATTGTTGTCTTTGGAAATAGAAATAATCTCTTACTCTGTTGGCTTGCTTCCTTGTACTAACTTGTACTGCAAGATTCCCTGTCTTTCTCTGATATGATGCTCATGTCCTTAGATGTTTTTACAGCATCTCTGCTGAATTAGCTCCTGCATAAGCCACTGAAATGTTGATTCCAGTGCACCTCACAGGCAAGGCTGAAACTACAGATGTTTTTGAGGTCTCCTCACAGTTGTCCAAACATTTCAATTTAACTACTGGATTGATGCCCTCCCCTCATTCATTTCCAGTCTTCTTTTTAACTAGAAACAGCTGGTGAGATTCCTTGGCTATCACAGTCTAAAGAATGTATATTGCCTCTGCAATTTTTATATATACGCATTAAAATGTGGCAGCTATTGTTGGTATGATATTTTGTAGTTTAAGTACCCTAGATGGAGGACAGATAATTGCATAAATATAACTGATTCCTAATCTGTAATTCACTAGATGCAGTGTGTTCTTCTAAAGAGAAATCATCTAATGCTTCTCTTGCATTAGATCTTCAAGCAGATTGACTGATATGGCTTGGTTTTCAGGCCTTGCTTAAAGACAAAAATGATTGAAAGGATTTTAACCAACTGCTAACAGTAGCTAATGTGTAACTGTAGTTAATGCAGTCCCTCAGTGTTTCCCTGTAAACTTTCTGTGCTTCAAGTCACGCTGCTGCTGCTTAAAACAAGACCATTGCAATACTGTGGTATCTTGTGGTGAAAGGGTACTTGTACTTAAAAACAAACTGTTGTGCATTCAGGCTCAAAAATCAGTTTGATTTTTAGTGTCTGTCTGTTGTAAGGTTTCTTTTTTTAATTTAAAACAACAGCTCTGTATTTAAGCCATTGTTTTGGCAGTACTAGGTGTTTTGAGGAGGTATGCTTCATTTTGCAGTTTAACTTCCCTCGTGAGGCTTACTTTTATCTTGCATTATTATTTAGTCCCTACTAGCATCAGAATGAAGCCACCATGCTGTTTTTAGTGCTTAAAGTCACTTCAACTTTGTATTTGCTGTTTTTCAGCCCTCTTAATATTTAAGATGTCATCATTTCCCTTCCCAGAAGCAGTGACAATGTGATACTGTATTTAAAGACCCACTGTAGTAGTAATGAACGTATGATTATCTGAACACAGAGCCCAGCATTCATTTGCAATCTCTGCAAGATCTGCAGTGGATAAAGAACAGCATACAGCCATCTCTAGTAGAAAAATCTTGCTCTCAGAAACTGGGGATCTAATCAAACAATGTATTCTTTTGATCTTTGTGGTTTTTCTCTTGGATCAAAATCATCTGGAACCATTTCACACAAGTTAAGTGTGCTCTTTTTGAATGCTGCTTAACCACAGTAGGCTTTCAGTCAGTGCAGGTGAAAGCTTAAAGCTGCAAGATGGGGTGGATCATTAAATGGTGTTCATGTTGAAATATGGTAATAGAGAGTTAACACCAATGACAAAGCGCATGCTGCATAGCAGAATGTAGTCTCTGGGGCAGGTAAAATCTGTGTTACATATATATGTGGTTCATCTTGAACGTTCAGTCCGTACAGGATATAAGTGGTGATCCTTGTGATTTCCAGGCGGACCTTGTTGTAACCAAGGTAATGAAGATTCCTAAGCAGTCTGTGAACTCATTAGCTCTGGACTTTGTTTTCAGCTCCGAAGGTCATTGATGTCATGTGAATGTCAACTGTGAATCTTCTAATTCTGCTTTATTTTAGAAGGTACCACAGAGAAGGAGACGGAAGAGAACTAGGTGTGGCTCTAGGGAAGATCTTGTAAGAGGAGGGGGAGAGTAGGGGACCTCAGGTATGAGAGGTAATAAAGGATGTCAAAGAAATAAAGTACAAGCATAATGCTGTATTTGAAGAACTGTTTATTCTTCAGTGGATGAGTTTGACTGCAAGGCACAGATCTGAGAGTAACACAGAATCACAGAATGGCAGGGATTGGAAGGGACCTCGGGAGATCATCTAGTCCAACCCTCCTGCTAAAGCAGGTTCACCTAAGAGCATGTTGCACAGGACATCATCCAGGCAGGCTTTGAATATCTCCAGAGGAGGAGACTCCACAACCCCCCTAGGCAGCCTGTTCCAGTGCTCTGTCACCCTCAAAGTAAAGAAGTTCTTCCACATACTGAACTGAAACCTCTTATGTTTCAGTTTGTGCCCATTGCCCCTTGTCCTATTGCTGGGCACCACTGAGAAGAGTCTGGCTTCATCCTCGTGACATCCACCCTTGAGATATTTGTACATGTTGATGAGATCCCCTCTCAGTCTTCTCTTCTTCAGGCTGAACAAGCCCAACTCTCTCAGCCTTTCCTCATAGGGGAGATGCTTCAATCCCCTAATCATCCTTGTTGTTCTCCTCTGAACTCTCTCTAGGAGTTCCTCATCTTTCTTGAACTGTGGAGCCCAGAACTGGACGCAGTACTCCAGGTGGGGTCTCACCAACTGCGAGTCACTCTTCGTGGGCTGCATTGTATCTTTTTCCAGTTGTCTCCTTCTTTGGTAACTGGAAGGGCAGAATTTGAGGAGTTCTGGCCGATGGATCTTAGTTAAAAGTAGAATGAGGGTGAAATGAATGTGACATCTCTTGTTTATGTTACTAATCTTTTTTTCTTTCAGATAACTAGCCCACCAGGTTGTGGCAAAACTCAGTTTTGTATTATGATGAGTGTTCTGGCTACACTGCCTGTAAGCATGGGAGGACTAGATGGGGCTGTTACATACATTGACACAGAGTCTGCATTCAGTGCTGAAAGGTAAGATGCAAAATTCTAAAATACACACTTGCAACTTCTGTAGCGCCTTTTATCTTGGAGTCTTCAATTATTTTCTGAGCAATAATCAAGTATTTATAAAGTAAATAACTATGGTAGTTATTAAGTATTCATCTGATATATGCAGTTATTCCATAGATGATGAAATTAAATTAATAGAATGGTTTGCTCACCTTCCTAATTTGTATGATGTTGCAGATTCCAATTGTGGTATGACAAGGTGGATGGTGCGTTCTTTAATTTATAAATGGTCTTAACAGTCCTGTACCTGAAATTTTTCTTTGCAGTTTGGTTTGTGGAGTTAGCAGGAAGGTTTTGAGGATGTAAAGGCCCAGCATTTTGAGTACAAAGGAAATGGAGGTTTTTCTGTGAACAGTAGGACTGACATAGCCAGTTTTCTTTCAGATTTCTGTCCTATTTCTGCTGAGTGGGGCCCCCTGCCCTTCTGCACTTCTGATTTCCTTCTGCAGTAATCTTGCATTTCTCCTATATCCTTAGTGGCCATGCAGTACTATATTCCCTTACCTCTGTAACATCTCAGGTTCTTCTAATACCTCCCGCTTTACCCATACAACCAATACAGCTGTTATGCACTTAAGAGATCTTCTAACTGCTGAATGGACAGGAGACACTATATGCTCTATCTGCTTGAGAGTTACAGGTATATGCATGTTGGTTACCACTCTTCCCATGTTAACTGACTGCAGTATTTCATTAAAGGTACCTCTAATTTACTTTACTTAGCTACTAACTTTTCTAGACTGTGAGGATTTGATGTTTTTGAGATGCCTATTCCTTTGCTGTTGTTTGGAATTACTGAGTTTGAAAGTTATTAAGGGTCTGGGGGAGGACAAGAAGTACAATAGTCTCATCCTTGTTTGTGTAGAAAAAATGGGCAGAAAAAGGTTCGTTTGAGTAATTTATGGATTTCAGGTGACTTAGTGGTTATACCCGTGGCCTGAATCTGGAGTATCAAAGCAAATGTGTTTGCATTGGTTGATCAGTTGAAGTTATCATGGATGAGAAGGTGGGGTTTCCAACCCTGTTTTTGTCAAGTTAATTTCACAGAAGTTTGAATTACTTTAAACTGGAAGTGTAACATATCAAAGAGGACCTCAAGCAATGGCTCTGCAAATTATGGTGCTCCCTTCTTACATACCACTTAATTTTTATTTCTGGTCCCTAAAATGTAGATAGTAAAGAAGGGTAGGACCTAACGGGTGAGTTAAGGTTTGTTGCTTAGAAGCGAATGCTAAAGAAAACGGGTGAACATGAAAATGAAACTGCTGAAAATACAGTAGGATGTGGAAAGGAAACATGGCAATACTAAGGTTGAGAATATTTATGTATTAAATCATATTTCTTATTGCTCAGATGTAAATGATAGCTAAACGCAGTTTCAGCAGACAAGCTATTTCTTATGCTTTACGTGTTACAGCCTCTAAGGAGCAGCTCCAGCAGGGTGAGGGAAGTGATTATCCCCTTCTGCATGGCACCTGTGAGACTACATCTAGATCCTGTGTTCTGTTTTGGGCTCTCAGTATGAGAAAGATACAACAAACTGCAGGGAGTTCAGCAGAGAACTGCCAATATGGTTGGAGGCTGGAGCACTTGCCCTTTGTGGGGAGACTGAGGGCTTGCTCAGTCTAGAGGAGGGAAGGCTCTGGGGGTATCTAACAGCAGCCTTCCCCTACCAATGAGGAGGCCCTCACAAAGACGGCAGAATGGTGTGTGGCAGGGAGACAGCAGGCATACGTTGAAATCCATTTCTGTACTGATATGGCTTTTTCACCATGAGCACAATCAGGAATTGGAAAAGGTTGCCCAGAGAGGTTGTGCTGCCTCCATTCTTGGAGGCTTCCAAAATACTACTAGATAAAGCCTCAAATAACTTGTTTTGACTTCATAGCGGGCACTACTTTGAACAGGATGTTGGCCTGGAGATCTCTTGAGTTCTCTTTCTAACCTGAATTTTCTTAGGATTCTATAATCTTGTCTATTAATAGACTTACGCATGTTCAGGTTCCTCAGGTGATCATGAACCTGATCTTCCCTTACAGTGGGAGGGCCTTTACCCCCCTGGTCCCATTCTTGTGGTCCATCGACTTGGGAGGGGTGAGGAGAGAGGTTACCATTGAAGACTGAGGCAAAAAAGTTGTTGAGTACCTCAGCCTGCTCCTCGTCTGTTGATACTAGGTTGCCATTCTTGTTTATCGGGGGGGTATGCTTTCTTTAACCTTCCTTTTCTGGTTGACATACCTGTAGAAGCCCTTCTTGTTATTCTTTACGTCCCTTGCCAAATTCAGCTCCAGGCACGCCTTGGTACTCCAGACCCCATCCCTATACAACTGGGCAGTGTCCTTATATTCTTCCCAGGATACCTGTCTCTGCTTCCACTGCCTGTGCAGTTCCCTCTTGCTCTTTGGTTTGACCATCATGTCTTGACTCAGCCATGCCGGTCTCTTCCCTTCCTTGCCTGATTTCTTACACCTGGGGATTGAGAGATCTTGTGCTCTATGGAATGCATCCTTAAAGATCTGCCAGCTCTGTTCTGTTCCCCTGTCCCTGAGGACTGTTTCCCAGGGGGTCCTTCTGATAAACTCTTTGAATAGCTGGAAGGTTACTTTCCTAAAATTTAGGGTCCTGACTATACTCCTCACTTTTTCCATATCCCTCAGGGGTGTGAACTCCACCAATGAGCGATCACTGCAGCCCAGCCTGCCTCTATTCTTGACGTCACTGATTAGCTTACTTGCATTGGTGACCATCAGGTCCAGTATTGCATTGCCTTGGGTAGGGTTGTCTATTACCTGGCTTAAGAAGTTATCCTCAATGCATTCTAGGAATCTCCTGGATTGCCTACAGCTTGCTGTGCTACTTTTCCAGCAGATGTCGGGGTGGTTGAAGTTCTGCAAAAGGACAAGAGCCTACAAGTGTGAAGCCTCCTGGAGCTGGAGGAAGAAGGCTTCGTCAGTCGGCTCCTCTTGATCAGGCAGCCTGTAGTTAGACACCAACCACAAGGTTCCCTTTGCTGCCTCTGTCTCTGATTCTTACCCATTAGCTTTTGACCTGCTTGTGGCTGTTCTTCAGGGACAGCTCTTTACACTGTAATGATTTCTTGATGTAGAGGACACGCTGCCTCCCCTCCTTCCTTGCCTGTCCCTTCTGAACAGCCTGTAGCCATTGATAGCCACATTCCAGTCATGGGATTCATCCTACCAAGTTTCTGAAATGGCAGTCAGGTCATAGCTTTGTAGCAGCATGGTAGCTTCCAATTCCTCCTGTTTGTTTCCCATGCTGTGTGCTTTTACTTAGGGGCATTTCATCTGGGCCATTGGCCATGTCACCTTCTTAGTGGGATACCCCTTGTTTCCCTTGAGGTGTTTCATGGAAGTTTCCTTGTTGGCTCCTACTTACCTCAGGAGCCCCCAGCTCATCTCCGCAAGACTTCAACTGTGCTGCAGTGTCCCCAGCATGCCTCTGGGCAACGGGTTGAGGGCTCATACTAGCACCCTGGCACAGGCAAGCCTGATATGTTCCCCCTCCCCCTTCACTTCTAGTTTAAAGCTCTGTCAATGAGCTCTGCAAGCTTCTGAGCAAAGACCCTCTTTGCCCTTTGAGAAAGGCGGCTCCGATTCAATGCCAGCAAGCCTGGTGCTGTGTAGGCCATCCCATTGTCAAAAAACCAAAAGTTGTGATGGTGACACCAGCCATGGAGCCATGCATTAATAGATTGGGTCCATGTGTTCCTTCCAACGTCACTGCCCGCAACTGGAAGGAGTTTTCCACCCCATGGGCCTCTGCCCTGATTGCAGAGAACATGTTTTGTGCAGTTTTTGGTCTCATGACAACCAGAATTTAGCTCTTAAAGAATTTTGAACCTGCATGGAGCTCTGTGAATAGTACTGCAAACTCAGCAAGATTTTGGCATGTCATTTTAAGTCAGTCTGTGTAATGATGTTCTTTGTGATATACATACCCATTAGGAGGCATATTGAAATCTCATTTCATGCAGACCATTGAATGACAGATCACTGTTGCCCAAATAGTCTGTGTGACTAATTGTGCAAATGCAAAGACAAGATTCTGCAGGCCAAGTTTAGACATAATAAGTAATGTATCTGATGAATGAGATTCAGGCTGAAGAAGAGAAGACTAAGAGGGGACCTTATCAACACATACAAATATCTTAAGGGCGGAAGTCACGAGGATGGAAGCAGTCTGTTTGCAGTGGTGTCCAGCGACAGGACTAGGGGCAATGGGTGCAAACTGAAACATAAGAGGTTTCAGTTGAATATGAGGAAAAACTTCATTACTCTAAGGGTGGCAGAGCACTGGAACAGGCTGCCCCGGGAGGGTGGGAAGTCTCCTTCTCTGGG